GCTTTCCTAATTGGAGGGTTAGCGGTGTGTGATAGACCCACTCTAATGATTAGGCGCTATTATGTATTTGTACATATTAGACTACGTCACAAACAAAAAAATCCTGCAATGCAACCAGAATAAAAATGAGTCGCCCCTATCTAGAACAATTGTAAAAGGTCGCACGTCGAGCCTTTATAGTTTTCCCAAAGGAATAACACGTAAGAAAATTAGTCCTTTCCTTTTGAGGTCAATCTAATTTTCTAGGATCAATGAATTAATGAATGAATTTAAGTATTATGCAGACTCAGATTATTTAACTTCCTAAATTATCTTTTTTTAATCCCTTTTCCTATTTGGGTCAAATCTAGTATATACCCAATTATTATTTTTTTTTTTTGGAATTTAGGGAATCTTAAATGGCGTGTAATAATGTATTCTTACAATTTCGAGCCTCTTCATTGATCCTAGAAACGTAGATTGACCTCAAAAGGAAAGAACTAATTTTCTTACGTGTAATTCCTATGGGAAACTAAAGGAGCGACGCGCGAACTCTTTCCGTGTTCCCAATAAAGATTTACTTTTTCGGATGTTTTTCTCAAATTTGGAAAAAATAACGAATATCGGCTAGCTGGGTTTATATATACATACATGTACATTTGCACATATAAATGTATTTGTACGAAATTTGGCATATTTGTAGAATACTATTTGACCGATAGTTTTGCCAAAAGGCAAACCGAAAGCAATTTTATATAAATGGCTTCGGACCAAAAATTTCCGAAGCTAATTTATTCTCGAATAAATTTTGTGTATAGGCGCCAAAGTTTAATAAACATAATTGTACTCGTAACACAACAAATGTATGCCTGAAAAAATAAATACACATGTACATACATACATATGTATAATGTACATTGTGTGAAATTGGGTGGAAATTAATTTCCTAGAAATATGGAAATATATTTCTTTTTCAATCTTGCAGCAACAAATCCTGCCTAATTTATTGATAATCAAAAACGTTTTGTTAAACGGCCAGCAAATTATAGCGATGGGAAATAAAATGAATGAATTTGCAAAACAAAAGTGCTGATAATGAAAGGGCGCGTGCATATGTATTTACATACATACATAAACACATAAGAATAGTATTAGGACGCCTCACGAAAGAGGTTGTTGATTTCATAAGCTAAATATAGTTCAAAACTGTAATAAAGTTTCGATTGGACCTGTTGATTTGAATTGGTATTATTCCTTTTATAGATTTTATGAAAAGATGCGAATTTTTTAAGTCAATATAGGATTTGTATGCATATTTTCATAAAACGAAAAAACTTTTTGAGTCTGATTTTTACGTTTTTTTTCAGTTTGTGGTCTCACTCACGTCACTGTTGTTAGTTAAATTCGAAAAAAGTAGAGCACTTTTTTTATTTGGGAACCAGCATTAATTCCGGTAAAAATGAGCCTATAAAGCCATTAGAGAATAATTCTTGGTTGTACTGAGAATTCAATGGAGAAGTGAAGTCCTCTCTCGTTGTGAAATATATTTTTAAAACAATAACCATGCGATATGGCGATCCTTGAGGTATCCAAGACAAAGTTTCTATGGAAGATTTGCGGGCCTTTGCATATCGGCGGCTGCGGAAAGCGCGAACAATGAAACGATTAGGTCTATGATTCTACATTTATGTAAATAGTAAAGCGAATTAAAATAGAGCAGCTCTCTCGTTCGAATGGATGCGGAAGCTCCATCCCTAAAAAATATTTAACGCTGAACCCATCTGGTAGTAGCAGAGGAAAAGGAAGGTCTCTTCTGCGGCGGAAAGATCATATGGAGAAGGGCTTGACTTTCAAGATGTTTAGAGGTGGCTTTAGTTGGCACAAAGATGAAACGAAAGGCGTACTTTATTGGACTCAGCCAAGATTGCAAGCCGTTTGCAATGCCAAATACGAAGAAGGTCTTTCAGACTATACTAAGAAGGCTTGAAATCATCTAATTGAGAAACACTTTATCATAGTCAGTTTTGGTTCAAAGAAGAAGAAATTTATCGGAAAACTTAAACTTACTCTAAGATACATTATCTCAATTTTGTGGAGTATGTGTAATGTATTAATTTTTCATAGAAGTTGTAGGACCGATAAAACTCCCTCCGGAAGAATGGCTCAAGTTTTACTCTTCGGAGGCAGGACCAATTTTTTATATGGGTGGTAAGACAGTCTAATATAAATACACATGCTTGTTTAAATGTATTGTCGAAAAGCCACATCAACGCTTTTTATTTCTTTCTCCACATGATATTACTTAATTTAAGCGGCATTGTTAGTTATTACACAATGAGGCTTATTTGTATACCAAATGCTAATTATAGCAGTTTATTTAAGCATTTTCATATACATATATGTACACTTGCAGTGCCTTGGTTTGGAATACGAAAAAAGAATTTTTTAAATCAAGGCACATTGACAATGTAGCGGCCGCTTGTTACATGTTTTCTGAATTCTTATTTTAACTTAATTTAAAAAATCTAATGTATGAAAAGTTTACTTCCGTATGCAGCTCTCACGTGTTTCAAGCCGGCTTCTAAGTGCAAAAGGCTCATAATAGAGGAATGTTTTCTCACCTGAAACTCAGCGACCTTTGCTTGATCAGCTGGATTCATTTCTATTATTAAAGAAAAAACTGTGGTAAGGCCATTCCAAAAGCATAATCCAGGAAAGCTTTCCAACTTGCAACACACCCACTTGAAAGAGATATCCTTCAATATTGCACTCTATCAAATTGTGACTAACATTGACAAAGCTGTGGCTTTCAAAAGAGAGGCGTTAAATATCTTTCTGATATTAAAGGTGATTTAAATAACGTTCTTCTTCTTTTTCTACAACCGTTTGTTGGTTTCGGAGGAGCCGGAAAAACTTTGCCAATTACCCGTTTCCATTGCGAGTTCGCGCGAGTTGTTCATACCAAGCGCAGAAGGACCTTTCTGCAATTTCTGCATGGGTGCCGAGTCGAAAGACCTTTTCACTGGATTGTCGTTATCCATGCGTACAACATGGCAAATCCAACGCAAACGTTGCATTTTGATGCGATTAACTATGACCATGTCGTGAAAAAGCTCGTACAGTTCATCATTCAATTATCTTCGGTACCCGTCACCCATGCGAACAGGGCCATAAGTCTTGCATAGAAACGTCCTCTCAAAACCACCTCAATCCTTCTCATTTTTGTTCGACATTGTCCACGTTTCTGAGCCATATGAAAAATACAGGCATGATGAGAGACTTGTAGAACGCGATTTTGGTTCTTCGAGAGAGGCCTCTGTCTTCAGTTGCCTAACCAGCCAAAAGTAGCACCTGTTGGAAAAAGTTAATCCTCACTTGATTTCCATATTGATGTTGTTTGTGATTTTTATAAATTTTATCAGAATTTATGCTGGAGGTAGACAAAGTCCACCACTCCTTCAAAGTTATAACCGCCTGTAGTGACATCTGTCCCAACGGTGCGTAGAGGTCCTTTCCAAATCGAACGGAGCTGAAGGTTGTGTTCAACATCACTCTACATAGCCGCATTACTTCGCGGAGATTTCAAATTTGGGCATGGCTTTGTACAGGCTTAATTTCAAGCTAACAAAAGCGGTTTTAAAATCGGCAAAAGGATGAATATGTGTCGACTTGTGTAAGTAGTGTCTTCGCCGGAATATCATGAGCTCAGAAAATCTGGTCAATGATGGATTTACCAGGGGGTTTGCTTTGTATTTCGATTTGAAACTCTAATAATAGTGCGAAAAATTCGAATCCGAATGATTTGCTTTTGGAATCGCAATACAGAGTAAACCGCCAAGTCTGAGGCCACTTTGATTCAGTCCAATCAGTTGGTTAGCGAGTGACTTCAGTGTTTAACACGGTCTACGATAGACAGGTATTTATATGAAAATTAATAAGGCTTCTTCCGCGATAATTAGAGCAAACGGTGGGATCTCTATTCATGTAGCTCGTTAATGCGGCTGAACAGCCTTTCACCGCCAGCTTTCAACAGCTCAGGCGGTATACCGTGTTGTTTTTAAGCCGCCTTATTGCTACTCCCACCATGTTTTCGTCGATTGTAGGAACGCGAGCTTCGTCCCCATGTATTGGTACGGATTTATCCTCATCAAACCAGCGGCTTGTGTCGCGATTCAAAAGCGCTTTGGAGTATTTCGGAACACACATCGGTGCTGGAACCGCATTGCAGTCTGAAAGCATCTTCAGCTGTTCGCGTTCCTTTTCCTCTTGCTTCGCTCTTTTGAATACACTATACATTTATCCTTCATCTTCTTCTCCTATCTCTTATCTCTCAACTCTCGCTCATAAAGCTATTAGCTGCAGGGTCGCTTTGTATGCTCCGTATTTATCTGCAGCATCATCAGGGCACTCGTCGTCATACCAGTTGTTCTTGCGCGGGTGGTAGTTTCCAACTACTAACGTTCGCCCATGGCTACTCGAAATTCCCTACTGAAAATGGAACCTTAAAAATCTCAAATAAATTATCAGTTTTCTTCTTAGTAAAAGAACACACCGTGCTTTGCTCTTAATGAGATGTGCCTGAGCTTGCTTGGTACCAAAATTTCTTCAATTTCTACTAGACATGGGCGAGCCACGATAATAGAGAAGCCCGTTTAACCGAGCCATACCTAAATTGACTGAGATCTGGTGTAGGTTTACGACTTTTAAATAACGGCACATATATCGAGTAAATTTTCACAGAAATGTTTTTTGTGAAGCATTACAGACGTTGAAGAAGATGGAAACTGTCTTTTTGTGTCCACTTTGCATGACGTATTCATTTGAATGACCTTAAAACATGCTTGCGAAATACCTTCAGTACTCAAATATATTTCCATAATTAAGACTGAAGATTTCCTTACAAACCGCAATTATTAAATACATAATATGGAACGCCACAATTTGATCAGATTTCCCTCGCGAGCATACGCCCGTACACTTAATACCAAAAATTTTGCCAATTTCATTATGAATTTACTCACCTGTCCCATATTGATGAATCCATATTTACTGGCAATTATGTCGGCCACTTGCCGGCTGGCCGGTATGTGCACCGCAAAATCATTCGTATACATCGGTTGCTGTGGCAAGCTATGCGTGCCACGCAGGCTATCCAATAGCTCATTTTGCAAGTCGAACGGCGCACCATCGGCCGCTGTTGTGTTTGCTTGGATGTCGATTGTTGGTTTAGTCATTTTATCACTACTGCCAGCACTAGGGCTACTGCTGCTGCTGCTGCTGCTGTCACCGCCACGCCCAGTGGGAAAATCAAAAGCATTATTTTCCACGCTGCTGTCATTGACGTTGGCATCACTTAGTGGCCCCGCGGCTATCACGCTTACGAAGGCTTCACTATAATCACTTAGTATGATGTTGACAGCTGTGTCGTTGTGGTTGTTATTCTTATTGATACTGTTAATGTTGCTGTTGTTATTGTTGTTGTTGTTGTTTGTATTTTTAATAATATCATATTTATAGGCGTCCGCTGTGCGGTGCTTCAGTGTATCGCGATAATTACTGCTAGTCGGGTCATAACTGTTGCTGTCGGTGTTGCTACTGCTGCTGCTGCTGCCGCTGCTGTTGCTACTCGTATTTACAATTTGATGTCTAATTGGCGCCGCTTGGTTGTTGCTATCGCTGGTTGCGCATACAGTTGCTACATTGTAGCTGCTTAAAAATATTACAACAACTAACGTATATGTAAAAAAGTTGCTACTTTGTAAAAATGAGGCCAATGTGTTGCGCCCAATGTTGGCCAGACGTTTTGTACTTGCCACTATTGCGGACGCTGTTGTATCCATTCGTGGTCGTTCGTACCATTTTCGAAGTTGTGCTGCACTTTTTTGTTGCTGCGCAGCTGAATTGTGGCATTGGCGGCCGTTGAGCTTATTTAGCTTACTCCCCCTAGAACTATGCTGATGCTGATGCTGTTGTTGTTGTTGTATTATTTGGGTACGTAGACGCGTGGGGCAAGTGTTTGCCGCCGCTGTTGCTACTACTCGTGTCGCCTTTATTGATGATATTGAATTGTCACATCCATCATCGTTGCTGCTGTTGTGCGTCAAATACATAGTTGTCTTTGACACGAACGTTAGGTTGGGGGTGTGTGCACTTGTGTGTATGGGTGTGTGTGTGTGTGTGCCCTTTATGCTTGCACTTATCGATTCCGGTTGTTGCAATATGTTGCCGATTGAACTGTTCGTGCTGTTATTGTGTCTAAAATACGAATTGTGTGGTGTTGTTGGGAATGTTGCGTCGAATTTTGTTGCCACATACGTGCGGTGTTCTTGATGGTAACCGTAGGAAAAATTTGATATAAAGTAGCAGTTGTTGTTTTTTTCGCTTGTTGAAGACAGTTATGCTATGGCTGCATACATTTGCCGCTTGTAACTGATATGGGAGAAACTGAAATAATAAAAAGTGGGCAGTTAGCTATTTGAATCCAATGGAAAAAAATTTAATGATCATAACAAACATGTTTTGTATTTAATACAAACACGTACACATAATAATAACAATAATAAAATTTTTTTGGCGCTTATACTTTTGCTAAGTGGTTGGAGCTTCTTATACAATTTATTGTATGCCTTCTGACAAATAAAGGGACCAACTATTTTACGCCGCCTCCGAATGGAAATTAGTTTTTATCTGAAGCCTTTTCAAGACAGTCGGCCACTGTGGCTGAGTGGTTAGAGTTGCGTACTACCACTCCGTAGGGCTTGGGTTCGATGTGTGGTTCGAGCAATATCTAAATTAGAAAAAGTATTTTTCTAACATATGAAATCTAAGAGCTGCAATTTCATATACATATACATTAGCGTGGGTCGAAAATCTACTTTTTTTGGAATTTTGATTGGTAATAGCAAAAAATATGGTTCCTTATGCTCTAAAAACAATTTGTGTGAAAGATTACAATTTTTGGTCAATATCTTAGCTATGTTTATATCAGTAGCCCGTTTCTGTAACTTTTCTCTACCGATTATTTCTCTACTGGTAGAGGAAATACGTCACTCTCACCTACTAATTAGCAGTAGAGAACAGGGCGGCGAATTCATATCTCAATTCGCCTTGGTAGAGAATTGTTACAGAAACGAGCTACAGGAATGGAGTTTGAAAAATTAAAATTGGGCCGCTGTTTAAAAATCATGGAATACAAACACGTTACTTAGAACTATTTCAAGGACACAAAAAGTAGGAGAAAATATGTTTTCTATAATAACACAGAATGAAAATCTTTTAAGAAATTACTGAGCTATTCGGGTTTTTGGGTTCCTTAAGTTGGATTTTGTATATCGGCGAAGGTAAAAAGTGCCAACGGGGTTCCAGTCACAAAAAAGCAAATTTTATAATTTACCTTGGCAGACAGCGAAAATGAGAATTATATTTGCATTGCTTTTTGCGAACTATTGTATTAGTTTTGTCTTATCTTAAACAGCCTCCATAAATGTCTTATTAAACAAGCCCTGCCCGAAAGCGTTCTCCAATTTACTCATTGGATGGAAGGATTCGCAAGTTCATACATATCTGAAGCAAAATCTACGCTTAATATTATACGAAAGAATTTTTAAATTCTTTAACGATATTACCGCATGATAAACGCGGGATAAATTACACGTTTGTAATAACAACAAGCTAAGACGTTTGACTCAATTTGACTCAGTTATGGCCAAAAATCTGCCTACAAAATCGAAAATAGCCTAATTGTGCGTACTTCTCCATCCCTGCTACTTCGAAGGGTTGTCTACCACAATTTCCACAGAAACTAAACAATTATGCACTTTGTCCGAATACGTAAGATCCGCTATATAATCCAAAAACATGAAGTTTCGAGGTGTGTCGTTATTGCAGAGGACCACCGATATGTTCAAGTATTTCTATATTTCCCGCTGCCGGCTTGCGCTATACCAAAAAGATTGCGTGAACAAGTCAATCCAAGCTATTAAGTATGTACTTCCTTTATGACAAGCGTCTACACACATGAATACCTTTTTTCATCACGTGTGTTCATAAACATGTGTTAGTGAGCGCATGAAGATTTTTTGAGTGTTGTGAACAGTGTTGCCATATTGAAAATTATTACCAAAATTGGTAGAAAATTTTCGGTTGATAAAAAGGTAAGTTTTTCACATTTTGGTAGATTTTTGTTAAAGTATTTTGTTTGAAAAAAAAATTTTGTTCCCACTTTATTTTTGTTAGTTATCATTATAGTATTATAAATTTCTTTCCAAAAGTTTAGTCAAATTTATTGCATACATTTTCGAACGTTTTAATGCACTTTTTTTTATATACATACATACATACGTAATAATTTTACTGGAATCCCGAAAAGCTTTTGATTGCCTAAATATTTTAACTGATTCTTTAAATAAAAAGAAAAAAGAGGTATGTTATAACATACTATGATTGTACGCAAAAAAAAATTAAAGAAATCAATTCCAGTTTTTGTAAATGGCAATTGATAAATGGAAAAAAAAACACAAAAACACCGGCGGCAACGGGAGTTCTTGGCTGCCTAATGTTGGTTATAGCATTATATTCCATATTCCATGAACTTTAAAACTGCATACCAAAAACTGTTCTAAAAATTCTGAGTAAAAGTTTCGAAATTTTCGAATTTTTTTTTTAAATTTCTCTAAGTGCCGTTTTCTCATGCATGTAGGTTTTAAAATTTACCTGCCCTTCAAACACATTTTTTCTGAACAAAATTTGTGTTTAAAGGTCAGATAAATTTTAAAACCTACATGAGAAAATGGCTCTAAATGTTGTAAAGAGCATGAGTCCTTGATATTTATGCGTTTGGTTAAAGCGCATGCAATATTCTTATACAAATAAAATAGCAAAAAAAAGTTATACTTAAAAAGCATTGCAAATATTACAAAAAAATATCAAGCGGTTTTTTATGTATTTGTCTATAATAACTCAATAAGTTTTTCATTAAAAACGGCCTCAAACTCAATAAAAATTGTTGAATATAATAATAACTCCCGTAAAAGTTTCTTTAAATGCTGAAGATTCGTTATTGCCTTTAATTTCATCACTTTCGCTTTTGGTATGAGAAAACCGAGAAGATGCCCTTAATATGATCTCAAATATCGTATTATTAGTTACATAAAAAGTTCCTTGATAAACGATTTTAATTTTTATATAAATAACCAAATGGAAGAACAAATATAATAACTAACAAAAGTTATTAGTAGATATTTTCCAGATTTCGTAGATTTTTTTCAAGTGGATGGTAAGCCTTTTTTTCGTCAATGGGTAACCCTAGTTTGTGAACGACACATGCATATAATGGAAAAGTGAAGATGAAAACCAACAGCTTTGAACACCGCTGCTAAATGGATATTGTGTGCAATAACAATTTTTCGAGTATGGTTTCCTATTATGCAATACAATAAAACACTACGCAAAGCACCCGCACGCACGCACACCAGCAAGAGGGCAGCTAGAGGTAGAACCACAAAAGAATATTGCACGCTCGAACATATAAAAAAATAATAATAATAACAATGAAAGCAAAGGCAAATAGCAAAATCACAACAACAAATAACGAAAATACACTAACAAAATAGCAAAGGTACCGTTAGCATTAGAAAAATAAACTACAGGTGTAGGTAGTACAAACATAAATAAGTAAGTAGTAAGTAGTTAGAGGTGGTGGGAGCGTTTCTCTAACAAGCAAAGGTGCGGGACCAGTTAAGTAGGCATTACTATGCTTGTGTACACAATAAAGTGATGTTATTGCATGTGGCAAGGAGCAGCAGGTTGCAATCAGAGTTTCGTACTACCTTCCTGCTTGGATGGAAAGTGCTTAGTAAATCTCGAAAATAGGTTAGTAAGTAGTTATTTGTGCGGCCTTTATTCTTTAGAAAATCACTACTGGCGCTGTTTTACTGCCACCTTTGTTGTAATTTTTCACCTTCTACTTGCCACTGCGGTGTTCTACTAGTTAATCAGCCACCTGCTCAAGTGTTATCTCGACTGCTTAACGACTGTTGTGAGATAAGTTGCTCTTCAAGTTGCCTAACTCTTACGTGTGGTGTTAGGTATTTCAGCTTAAGCGATTTCATTTATGTTTGCATACTTGTTTAAAGCTGGTACCATGTCTGTTGTGTCTGAATGTCTCATTTATATTTTAGACAAATGACGAGTCATTAGCCATTGAATGTTTGCAACATGTGTACATTGCGGTGGCGTTTTTTATTTAAATTTTACTTTCAACATTGAAATTAGTGTCACTCATACGCAACGGTGTACCGCAGCTAAAGGTACTGAAAGGGATTAAATGCGAATTGCGTGCTACTTTGTTGTTTTTTTAGCATTGCATACGTGCTATTGCCAGCTTTGTATGAGATTATTTTGGGCGCCATCGTTAATCTTGGTTGCCAGACAGATCCAAGATGATTGTGTCACAGAAGACATAAATATGCTGGCTATAAAGTTCATTATATTAGATAACGAGTGGATACAAAATTTTATACATTTTGTTTTACAATTATTTAATTTAAAAAGTATCTCTACTTTTTCTATTTGAGCTACGCGTTCTTGCTAAAAATCGACTATCCGGCTATTCGGTTAGTCAGAAATCTGATTATTCCGCTCAAATTCGACCTGCAGTTCACTTTCGACTAGCCGCTTCCTGACGGAGGGTAGTTGATTCTTTCGCCGTCGCTTTGGGTTACTGTCGTCAACGACCTGTTGGTGACTCTGGAGCGAACTAGCACTGTTAACAAGGGCAAAGTTTCTGTATACACTGTTGGAACTTATGCAGGGTTACCTGAACTTGGTTAAAAACTGAACTTCTGGCTGTGAACACTAGCAAAACGGAGCTTGTTATTTTTTCTAGGAGGTAATTAGGTACCGACTTGCCGCCTTCCCTCAATGGACGGTCTTCCACTAAGGCTTTCTGACACGGTTAAGTACTTGGGCTCGATCCTCGACAGCAGGCTTTCCTGAAAGCCCAACTTAGAGGAAAGAGTAGGGAAGCTAAAAGTACCATTATATGTATTGTTGTAGAGGAGCCGCAGAAGTCTCTCACCGAAAGTAGTTTATTGATTTTATGATACTATAATTAAGCTAATTTTATTTTATGGAGTACTCGTCTGGTGAAACAGCCTAGGCAAGGCCTTCATCGTCAAGCAGCTGGAAGGAGGGAAAAGAGCTGCTTTAATTGGAATCGAATAACTCCTACTCTGGCGCTTAATGCTATGCTAAACGTTGTTCCCACAGATATAGCAGGAAGAGTTGTCGCTGCTCGCGCTGCAGTAAGACTAAGCGGGTGAGCATTAAGTGAGCACGCTGCTATTCTAAAAAGCTTCGAGTTCCTACCAACTCGAACAGACCTCTGCACGCCGAGTTCGGGGTCGAAGGGATTTTTCACCACCCATATACCAGCAAGCGGGGAC